TATATAAAATGTTGCAAAACAAAACATTAAGTGTTTTATTTTTATGCTTCTGTGTTGTTAATATGGTCAGTTTAAAATATTAACTTAGTCTGTCTCTAACCTTCAACAGGAGAAGCTTTTTAGTTCTCTGCTATTGCATTTAGGCACAGACATTCTTTGTCAACTGTATATCAAGGGCACGCGCACACACATACACAAGGTAATTATCCAGTACACAATGGCACACGGACGCGGACTGGTTTCTTCCATAATGGGGCTGGGGGAATGAAAGCATTAGGGAGCGAGCAGGAGCAGATGGAGACGTGTTGCGCCTGTAGATTCTGCCACTTTGCCCTCATAGAACGAGAACGAGGGAGAAAGTGTGTGTGTGTGTGTGTGCGTGCGCGCGCCCGCGTGTGTGTGTGTGTGTTCTGTTAATATCCACTAGGTGGAAACGTCAGGCTGTAAAATGTAAACGTGCTCACTTCGGTTATCATTCAGTTGTCAGGGTGACCTGTTGGAGAGCCAGGTGTGACCTTGCCTTGGGTCAGTGAACTTCTTACAGCCGGTGAAGGATAAATTCGTCCATTGAGGGAATTGCAAACTGTAATGTCCATAGAATCTGTGGCCTTTAGGTCTCATATAGAATATTCATGAAGTCCTATTTTATACCCCTGATTTTCTTCACTGGCCAACACATTTAGGACAAATTCTGTCCTTAAGGGTATACAAAACCTCAAACAGATGTACAACTCTTCCGTGCAGTCAGAGCTACTTACAAGATTTCTTCTGGGAATATATTAAAGCTGGAAAATTCTGAATAAATTCACCAGAGCTGCAGCGGAAAATGCAAACGCACGAGAGTTTCTAAAATAAAACGAGAAATTAAATTAAATTGAATTCATCGGACAGTTAAATGCGTTTTCGAAATTAATTTCCTGCCCGCTGCGGTTTTCTTTGAAGATTAAAATCGTATGTCGGTGTTCTAATTATCTACGGAAGGTATTTTGAAGAACGGTTCTAATAATAAGCTTGACGCTCTCCTTATGAACGTCTCTAAGCGAATTAATAGAGCGTGGAATCCATACTTTCTCTCTCTTTGACATGGAATAAATAACACCCCATTCTCCTCCTCCTCCTCCTCCTCCTCCACCTCCTCCACCCCCGCAGCATCTCTGAGGATGAAAGAGAAGACAGTGGCACTACAGTCATTGCTCAAGGCACCACAGCTCCCAAAGAAATGATGTGCGATTCACACTTTTGGCCACAAGGAGGCATACAAGATTTCTCTAATGCCTGAGGAATATTCCTTTAGTGCCTGTGGACATCTATAGCAATTTTATACTCTAAAAAGTTTCGAAAAAGATCGAAAAGATGTATAAACATTTATCCTACATATGTGTTATAATCAGTTATTTATTTTAAGTTCAGATTTTTTTTTATTGTTCTATGTGTTGCAGTTGAAACAAGCAAACACTGACTGGGCCCTCACCAAAAATCAAACTTCCTCTCTGAAAAGGTAAAGCACACGTTTGCTTGTCTCTGAATAGGGATAAACTATATTAACTTTGTGTTTTTAGTTAATAGTAACACAATATATTACAAACTGTTATACTACAGACAAAATCTAATTGTTTCTGTAGCTCAAACAATAGCACATGGTGCTAACAGTGCTATGGTCATGTGTTGAATTTCCAGGGAATGCATGCAAGTCATATGCATAAATGTAAATGCTAGAAGTCAAATCCTTAAAAAAGAAAAAAAGTGTATGAATAGTTTTTTATTCCTTTCTAAATGACAAAACCTCATTTTGTCATTTAGAGCTGGCAGACAATGACCTTCATGCATGAAATCTGGAGTATCAAAATAGCTCCTTACATTATCTCAGACTGGCCTAATTTCCCATCATCTGTTTGTAGTTGCAACTCTATAAACATGGATGGCACTCTGATGCGTAAAGCCATGCAGGCCGAACCGGAGAATTATGTGGGTCAAATGGCTGCCGGACAGTACTGGACCTGGGGAACCCGCTCGAGAGGTACAACTATAATTTATGTCACATTATTTGATCCTGTTTATTTAATTGTATTCATTTAAACAATTTATTATATAATAATATTATTATTATTTATCTATAATTTTTTATTTATTTTTTGCATTTAACACTCAATATGAAAAAGTATTCAGATTATCTGACATATTTCTAAGTGAAACAGGATATTCAACAAGGAAGAAGTGTTGGAGCGGGAATTACTAAAGGCATTGCTTTTTATGAAAGCCTAAAAAGCAAAAACCAACACATGGCCATATCACCTTGCCTTATGTTGGAAATGTGGTTGTTTTGCATGTTTAATTAATTTTATCAGCCTGTTAAAATGAGTAAAATTATAGATGTTAAAAAACCATGGGTGTTATTAGGCCCTACTACAGAAAATTAGCAATTTTTAATATGTGATTAATGTTCAGATTCTAGGTCCAGACTTTGAATGTCTTTTATTTCTGTGCAATAGTGAGAAATATATTACTTTGGCCTTGTTCAATTTGTGGGTAAATAAGACATTACTTGAAGAGACTTTCATGATTTGTTTGGCAACATAAATTATTCACCTCTGAATGTGTTTCATTTGTATTTGAGTCAAAAGTTCAAAATTATGAAGAATTTTTAAAAAGGTTTTCAAAGTAGACTTTTATGCTCACTAAAGCTGCATATATTTGATCATAAATAGAGTAAAACAGTAATATTGTGAGATATTATTACAATTTGAAATAGCTCTTTTCTATTTGAATATGTTGTAAAATGTAATTTATTTCTGTGATCAAAGCTGAATTTTCAGCAATCATTACTCCAGTCTTCAGTGTCACATGATCCTTCAGAAATCATTCTACTATGCTGATTTGATGCTCAAGAAACATTTCTGATTATTATCAGTGTATAAAACAGTTGTGCTGCTTCATATTTTTGTAGAAACCATGACACATACCATTCAAATGTTCAGGGTAAGGATTAAAAAACAAAAACCTTTCATTTAGCAAAGACAAATTAAATTGATCAAGAGTGACAGTAAAGACATCTACAATGTATAATATTATTAAAGACTTCTATTCAAACAAATGCTGTTCTTTTGAACTTTTTCTTCATCAAAGAATCCTGAAAAAAGTGCAGTGACACCGAAGACTGGAGTAATCATGTAGAAAATGCAGTTTTGCATCACAGAAATAAATAACATTTTGAAATATATTGCAATACAAAATAGTTATTTTAAATTGTAGTAATATTTCAAAATATACAGTATCCAGTTTTTACTGTATTCTTGATCAGATAAATGAATCTTTGGTGAGCATAAAAGTTTAAAAATTACATTTTTAAAAATTATTTAATCTAAGTAGTTCTCTTCTTTCTCTCTTTTTTTAACCCTTTCAGAGTACCGGATGCATTCTCCAGCCAGTAGTGTTTCTCAGAGGGCCTGGACTCCTCACTACACGCCCCAACACAACCCCAGCCACCACCTGCAGCAGCAGCAGCAGCCCACGGCACAGGTCCACTCGCACCCTCCGCCGGACTACCAGCACAACGTCTACATCCCCGGCACACCATCCGGATTCTGCACCCTGCGGCCCAGCTACCGCAGTGAGCTCGATGTCCACAACTCATTCTCCACCTTCGGCAAGAAACGTAGGTTCATCTCTCCCAGCAGCTATGACCCGCATGACGACACGGGGGCAGAGGTCATCAACAATGACTTATATAATGAATAAAATAAGACGAAAGGACCTATGCTGTGATGATGAACAAAAAGAGTGACTTATTACCAAAGCATAGCACTCATTATGTAGTCTCAGCCTCAGATGGACCGACACAGTCCATTCATTGACCATCTGATGCATATTGCACATGCAATGCAACTTCTGTTGATTTAGGGAACAAAAATGTTTTTAAAATGACACCAGGTTGATGTTATGAACACTGGATTTGCCATAGTTTGCCTGGATCGTGGCTTCAAATCTTTGAAAGTTATTCAGGAGCAGAACTGTATATTCCACTTTGTTTCCTCTCTGTGAACTTGTTTAGCAGGACAGAAGTTCGTATCACAAAGTCTAAAAATGCCTCACCTTTTTCTGATTTCCATGCAACAGTTTTGCAGAGATTATAGAGTGTAACAGTGCTTGACCACTTTCTCAGTGGACTTGGTTCCAGAAGTATTTTTCCCATTAGGATTTAAAGGGGTCATATGATGTTGCTAAAAAGAACATTATTTTGTGTATTTGGTGTAATGAAATGTGTTTATGCGGTTTAAGGTTCAAAAAACACATTATTTTCCACATACTGTACATCATTGTTTCTCCTCTATGCCCCGCCTTTCTGAAACGCGTCGATTTTTACAAAGCTCATCGGTCTGAAAAAGCGAGGTGTGCTCTGATTGGCCAGCTATCCAGTGCGTTGTGATTGGCCGAATTCCTCAAGCGTGTGACGGAAATGTTATGTCCCTTACCATATTGTGATGCCTGCGGCAACCACATGTGACGACCCCGGGCTGGACTCCGCTTCGTCCACGGTGAAAGCCGATCCGGCGATCGACAGCGCGAAGTTGAAGTATTTCCTCAGCGACCAGCACGGATCTGCTCCAGGCATGACGAAGCAGATATCGTCCTCTTTTGGAAGGCCAAACAAAGTAGTTTCGCTTTCACAACGAAGCACACAGCGCCTTCACGACATAGCGGCGGCGGTAACAATACTACAGCGAGAATAAAAGTACACCTTCTTTCTTTGCGTGAACATTTGGGCGGCGTTATGCAAATCTTCCAAGATAGTGACGTAGGTATGTGGGGGCGTGTTAGGACGAGCCGTTTTAGGTAGGCGTGGTTGACTCTTAACTTTTATAAAGAATATCTCTTTGGATTTGAGACTTTAGTCTTTGCAACTTTACAGATCTTCTTTATGCACCAAGAGCTTGTAACACTCCAAAGAGAAAGAAAAAATTGAAATCGCATCATATGACCCCTTTAAAAAAAGTCTTCATTAAAAAGTAAAACCAACCAACCAGTTATGAATTTAATCATAACATTACAAACTTAGATTAGAAGCCAAAAAGTATTTGAAGATTGAAAAAAAAAAAAAAAAAGGTACTAGACTGAACTTAAAGTGTTCAGGAATGACATAGTCAAATAAAAAATTATGGAGAATCATAAAACTATTAATTTAATGTTCAATTTTAATCTTAAATGTAATCTTTAAATTTAGATTTAAAGATTTCTCTGCATAATCATGGGTTTTTCGTGTGGAATTATGATGTTAAACACAAGAAAACGTTGAAATAATGCAAACTGATTGCTTCAACAAAAGCATTTACCATCAATTGACAAGCTTGTCATTCACAATAGGTCTGTCTTTAAAGGTTTATCAGTTATTGTTACAAGTCACTTCCCCTCTGGAGATAAAGAATGGAGCTTTTACTTCCGGAACCGACTGTTGCACTCTATTTTCAGATGAAACCGTCACTAAATGGCATGTAAAAAAAAATGTGTTTTGTTGCTTTAAATGTGAATCAGGCAGAATGAGCAGCAAACCTACTTTATGCTGCAAGTCTGAGACTACTTGACACGTGACAGGCAGGGAACCAAACCTTTATGATGTCACAGTGCCGCTATGCTATGATGGTTCTTTCTGTGCTCACACTCACTCAAACATGCACTTTTCACTCACATAGTGTGTGTTTGTGGCACATCATTCTGGCCTGCTCATAGGACATACTGTCTATCCTGTCATTGGGGCCTATTGTACTTAACTACAGAGGTTCTGTTCCTTAGGATAAGATAGTCTGGCTGTTTTCTGACAAACGGATATTTAAAAGAACTTGAATTAGTTAAAGGAGTGAGGCGAGTTCTTATGATCCCAATGAAGCTAAGAAAACTGCTTGTCCTGTTATATCAGGAACTGAATAAAACTTAATCTGTGTTATTATTATTATTATTTGTAATTGCATCTGCTTGGTTAGTTTGACCACACCGGGCCTAAAAGTCAAAGGTCATTAACACTAGAGAAGCAGTGAGAGGCCAGGCCTGAGATTTAATACAGTACTGAATATCATTATTATTTTTATATTTTCCTACTGTTGTTACTTTGACAATCATTTCAGGCAAAATGTGATTATTGCCCGCCTTTTGCACACCATGTGAGCATATAAATCAATACAGTGGCCATGATGAGACTGAATTATGAGCTAGGAGAAGGTGGATGCTCACCAAGTGAAACTGATCGATTCAATATGATTACTCATGTAGGAATGACTGGATCCGCACTTAGAGACACATTACTGCCTCATACAAGAGAACAGGATGTGAAAGTCCATTCATTCCAAATATGTACATAAAAATATGAGAATTAAATATTTTTTTCTGAAAAAAAAAACTGCAGTGTTGTGATTAATATTTTTACAGGTGATACTAGGAATAATAAAATACTACAAGCCAATTGCTTACTGAATACTGAGCAATATACACTGTATACTGCTTACTACTTGTAAAAATAGTAAGACAGTATGCAGTTTGTATCAATTAATTTTTCAAATGGTAAGTATTATTTTTTTCACTTTCACAGGAGTGGCATCCAGTTATATCAGAAATGTATTGTTTTGCCTTTTAATTCAGTGTTGCAGTTTTGTTGCAGTTTTATTCAGTTTTTCTTGTGTTCAGCCTTTTCGGTTGTGAGTAAAAGTAGGTCTGTGGAAGAGTCTTTCATGTTTTATTTTTTAAAGCGTACAACATAAATTATGCACAGTCATATTCTCAGGTGTGAATTTTGAAACCATTGTGTGCTCTAAAAAATAAAAGCACTAAAGTTGCACAGTCTGTCGCAGCAACTTATGTCTTTTAAAGAAACAAAAGTGCTTCAAAATTAATTTACAATGTACACTGTGTTTTTGTTGCAGAAAAAAAAAACCGTGAAAGTAATATTTACCACTAAATTAAAAAAATAAATGCAATACTGCATGGTTCAAAATGCTAATTATCTTGCAGGTCTAAGGACTAGAAACTGAACAGCTCTATTGTCTTAATTAATTTTCACCAACTCTTATCTTTACATAGTCGCATGAAAAGACATTTCTCAGCACAAAGAAAATAAAATGACCCAGGCCACTCTCTCATGCACCGAATAAACATTGCAAATGCTAACATATGCTAATGAGCTTTCTTATATTCCCTTTTTCCTCCCACAGAGAATAGACTTGGTTCATTAACTAAACAAACACAAAACTCCATCGTCTAAATATCATTTTAATTAAAGACGGGGAAACAGACGGGCCCGTGGGGGGAATCAGGCTCCCCCTGAAAATGCCACACCTGGACGCAATCTCTCCCGCGCCCTTTCCATTTTAATTTCCCGGGAAAATGAGTTCAGAATGTCAATAGATGAGTATCGCCCAGTTGAGAGGGATAATTAGGTTTGCCGTGTGTCCTTTCAGATTACAAACGTTAATGAAGAAACGGTCTCCATGGCGCTAACACACTTCTCTAAATCGAAGTTCATCTCTCTGAGGGCCCGTGAACCGGAGGTGAGGAGATGAGCAATTTAGAAATGTCCCTCTCTAGACTACAGATCAGGAATTAGAGGAGCTCTGCTTTTACCTCACAGAGTCACATTCAAACAATGACATCCTTTTGAGAAGTAGGAACAATCTGCGCACAGAAAACTTCAAAACTTTGCTCATGAATATTAATTAGGTGACTAAACAGTGGTCCTCGCTGATTGGCTGAAAGACAGACCGTGCTAAGTAACTATAGTTGCACATATATGTTTATTTTTATTAATGATAATAATTAATTTGTTATGTGTAACTTAACTTAAAGAAAGTTGTAATTTTCTTGAAGGTTAAATAACTGCATGTTGAAGCGGTGATTAAATCTAGTGCTTAAATTAGTCAACAGTAATTTTATTGGTCATTACTGTGAAGTTCCTTGTATTAAAGGTTCAAACACAACTGAACTATAAAGATGAAGTGGTCATTTTTAATATCTGTTTTTGTGATGTACACTGTTTAGGCCTTCACCTTTGACATTTAGCAAGTAAGTGCATCTCCAGTTTGACCTTGTCCTTGTTCTAGACAGAATGTTTTAGCTCTAGCTGTTTCTATGACAACACCAGTCCAAACTCTCTCTCTTTGTTCCATTGTGTGGTCAGAATAGCTGCATTCTAACTAGTGGTCTCGGTATAAGCCATAAATCAGTTCCTTATATTTTATTTATTGCTACTTTAAACTTTCAATTTTCAAGAACGATACCTAAGAAACTAATGACCTGAATTGTTCTGTGTGAATATGCAGCTCACTGATTCTTGAGAAGTGGGACAAAACAGGGTGAAATATTGACAAAGACAAATGAAACTACATTTTTGTATCTTACATGTACTAAGCTACTGAGCTATGCTTTGATTCAACCTCCCAACCTTTCTCTTTTTTATCAAAATGTGCTTTTTACCTTGCCATCATTATTTTGCAATCAAGCAATCAAGATGTTTTTAACATTTCAAAACACATTCTCATGTTAGCAGACAGATTACATTTTCACATGTGACCAACAATTCCTCAACAAATATAAAGTATCATAATCTAATATTATCAAAATATTCATCTGACGGGGGTGACCGACCTGACAGAGTTGAAACATCTGACGGTGGTGACGAAAACCTGAATTTAGTCATTTTAACTACTTTACATTGAATCAATCAATTACTGTATTAAAACAAACACAACAAACAGTGAGTATGCTATTGTTTATAAAGCTTTTTTCAAGATTCACATTTAAGTATTTTGATATATCATTGGAACACAAATGATCTATTTTCTCTCATCTCAGAACAGTATGTCTGCTGTGCATCTGCTATGGTAACAACAGGTAAGGTAAAAACGGTTAAAAAAACAGTTAAATGAACAAATAAAACAATTAGTTGTTACCTCTATCCATTTACATTCACCAGGATCTTAATATTCACATTTAAACATCTTAACAAATGATCCCAAAATGATCAGAAAATATATGATCATATGCATTATTAGAGAAATTAAACACTATTTTATGTTTAATATAATTAAAAATGACTTGAAAACCACACAAATATGATTACTTTTACGTTGAATGTGAACTCATTGATGTACTCTGCAGAGGTGGAATGTGGCAAGGGGGTCGTTTAGAGTAACGGCTGCCCCTGATATTACCTGAT